AGTGTCGTCCTTAGTAGTTGCGGACCGACTTATAGACATAGATGACTGGTAATGGAAAACCAACACCAAGATTCAGGCCTCTCCGAAATGTGTCCCACGCCTCTCTGCCCTTCCCATAATAACCTCTTCTCCAGTTTTCGGGGCCAGGATGCTCTTCGATGTTGTCAATGTCCAATGCCGCAGTGAGAGGCCTGGTGCTGTAGATGTGGTTCCGAAGCACCGCCCCGAAACGCCTGCGCCTGTCTGGCAGCAGTGACAAGCAATACGTCCGGGTGATTTTCAGTGCCGGAACAATCATTCTGCCGGCCTTTTTCGGAACCGGAGAATCGTCCAGCAGCACTGCGATAGCAGGAGCGGTGGGATCCTTGCTTCTGTTGTGTGAGAAATATCCGTGCAAGGCCATCTGAAGATCTTTCGGCTCCTTGATGTTGGCAGTGGCTTTGTCGAGGAGTAGATGTTTAATAGCATTATTCACCCAGCCAAACATCCTATCACAATCGTGCTTGAAATGCTTCTCTACTCCGAAGTGGAGTGCCACTTCGCAGTTGTGCTCTGCCGCAAGCTTTGCCGCCCATGCCAAATTTTCGTAGGATCTGAAGTGACCCGCGCAATCTGCCACTATGTCCACGCCTTGAAGAGGTCTTGTAGAAGGTCGCTTCGATACCATGAGCGAGAGGAGCTGACACGTGCGCAAAGCAGTATGATCTAGAATTTCGCTGATAACAAGTATGTGCGTTCTGACCATCTCTTTCTTCTCTTCTGTCGAACCCTGTGAGTGAGTTGTTATGACTGCGCCTGGGATTTGCTCAATGTGGGCAGGGAGTTCACGATGACTTCGGTTTTCCAAATTAGGGTTCGAAAGATTTGCAACCCTACAAGTGCCACACACTAAAAACGAAATCCTAAATCCTACTCCTGAAGTTCACCACGACACCGAATATGGATACCTCCTTCCTTGCAGATCCATAAAAAGCTTCTCCCGTGGCCTTGGGCTGAAGTGGCAAGCTGAGCAACTCCTTCCAGTCGGCCAAAATGGCCAATCTCCCCAGCGAGGGCGATTTGAGCAACGCATCGATGGCAGGTTTTTGCAGCTCGTTGGAGGCGCGATGGTGGTTGTACGAGCCAACAAGCTTGCTCATTGCACGCAGTTCCACGCCACGGTGGATCTCCACTTCGCGCAGCGCAAGAATGTCTGCACAGCCACGGCGCAAAGACGAGCAGCCACAAGGAAACTCTGTGTTGCGGTGTCGTGCATTTGAATGTAGTGAGCGAGGTCGCTGATGAGCAGAGCAGGTTTGTCTTTGTATTGTTCGTTTTCTGCATGACGATCCCAGGGAACGAAATAGTCTGGCAGCTGTTCGCGAAGCTCTTGCTGGGATTTCTCGATCAACTTCCGCATGTCTGGCAGCACTTTGTCGTCGAAGTCCGCGCAGATCTGACAGTAGTCTGTCAGACGCCGGGGCGCCTTGAACTCTTTCAGGTGCCGCTTGACAATACTATTGAAGCAATAGCCGCTCATCTGCTCTTGCAAACCCTCGGTCTGCTCAAAGATTACGTTCTTGCGCCTCGTCAAGATCACTGCCGGCACCCATTCCCTTTGCGAGTTGAGGCAGGGCTCCGAAGAAGCTTGGCAGTTCTTCTCCAGAGCATCTCGGACAGCATGGATGTTGGCTTCGTCGTTGACCTTGCTTCGTCTGCCACGCGTTTGTACAGAAGTCTCGTCCGCACTGCGTCCTGCTGCACACCAACGTTTGTGTCCCATCTCGTAGCCCTTCTGAAGCACTATTTGGCGGTCTGGCACTGCTGCACGTACAACGCGGTCGATGGCCCGACGCACCTTAAACTGTGAACAAAACTCCAAAACCCGCAAAT